ATACATTTACATGCCCCGTGCAGAAATTAAAATGTGGGCCTGATAGGGTACTGGACAGTTTTCCCGATTTTTGGTGTGGCTCTGGGTAGAGAAACTGACCAGTGCCCAACTAGTGTGTGACGCTGTTCCCGACCAATGCCCTACTTAGGGAAAAACTGGTCAGGGCATCGTCAGTTTTTCTTAAAATTGCCCTATTTTGTGAGGCTAATTTTATTCAAAAGAAATTACAATAAAATTACTGTAATTAAAAATATTATTATATTAGAAACATAATGAACATATTCATTATATATACAACATATTTATACATAACATAATAAGGTATTATAGTCATTTTGACTAATTTAAAAGTGAAAATGATAAAAATAATATAATTTCAAGAAAAGAAAAACTTAAAAATTTTTGAAAAATATAATTTTTGGTTTTATGATTAATTCATTTTTCTTCATACCTCGATCTAAAGTACGTATTTCCTGCTTCGATTTCGCAGCAGAAAGTCGAAGATTTGTGCATTGGTCGATGCACAAGCTCGCCCTCTGTTAAAGCGGGAGCAAAAGTTGTAAGCTGTTCTGCATTACCGGCAGAGAATTTAAAGCGCGAGTGATCCAGGCGTATAGGGATTGACAGTTAACCTAAAAGCTTATTGTTTTTTTTTCTGGTGCTTTACTTTAAGAAAAAATGAATCAAAATGTAAAACTTTAGAATCTTTGAATATCGTAGGGAACATTCAATATGATCTCAATTTTGATGTAAACAAAAATGTATGTATCAAATACATAAATTTTATATTTCATAAAAAATTATAAATAATTTTTGTACTCTATCAGATTTGAAAAATAGTTAATACAATTAATAAATAAAAAAACTTATTTTATATTAGAAGGTTGTTTTTTATTACTTTCATTTATTCCTTTGGTCATTTATTGCAATTAATTATTTATTTAGTTGTTAAAATTGTAGTTATATTTGGATTTTGCTTGTCTTTTCGATGCCCCCCCCCCCGACCAGCAGCACTCGCTTCGTTCGTGCAGAAAATGTCGAGGCCGGCATCGAAAGTCAATAACGGCGTCTTTCTTTTAGAGAGAGATAGAGAAAAAGCCAGAGCTTCAGGAGTTGCCGATGGCGGCGCTGAAGCGGGGAGCAAAAGTAAAAGATGGCCGGCTGTCAAATCGAACGCGATTGCAAGATTTGTAATTAATAAATTATTAAGCGTACTTTCGGCCGGATATAAAGAAAAATAGTATACATTACACGGGCAAAAAGTTCGAAATTCCTGCATCGCGATGATGCAGGAATGTCGAACTTTCTGCCCTTATAATGTAATATACTATTTCTTTTGGAGGTTGTCGCTCCTTTCTGCCTCCTTAATTTTATAATATTAATAAAGGTTATAATTTTTGATTTCAAATGTATAAGTAATAATTAATATTTATTTAATAAATATTTTATTCAAATTTATTAATTATGTTTAAAAAATAGTTATTAAATATTATAGGTGTTAAATTTAACAATCTCTCCGAATCATTTTCTCACTTTAAGCTAATATAATATAAAATAATTATTATTATTAAAATAATATAATATATATATATACAAACCAAATGATAAATTCATCCTATTAATTAATAATTATTAAAATTCATTAAGTATAATTTATTAATAATTGTTTATTAATTATTATTTTTTAAATTCATAATTTTTATTTTTAAATAAATGTATAATAATTAATTATTTAATAACTATTATTATTCGTTATTTATAATTTAGTTGTTATTATTAATACAGTGAGTTCTCGCGAGTCGTTCAATTCTCGAAAATTTTCAAGATAATAAAACTCACGAGTCGTTCAACGCATAAGCCACGCCTCCAAGGCGATTTCAGGGATGTGTGAAACATATTTATCGCCCCGAAAGACACAATATTCAATGACTTTGGTCCGTTTAAATTACACAGCACTGAGCACCGGCGCGCGCATGCTAGAAATTGAACGACTCGTGAATCGGACACTGATCAGCTGTTGAACGACTGGCGAGTTTGAACGACTCGTGAGTTGAACGACTCGCGAGAACTCACTGTAAATAAACTTTATTATAATATTGTACTTAAAGAAAAAAAATTATATGTATTTTCGTTTTTTAAATATATTACCATAATTATTTTGTAAAGTGTTTTAAAAGAACACGCTTTTTTAACTTTAATAACTGTTTTAAAAAAGTTAATTTTAAAAAATTAAATTTATTTACATGCTTTTAAAACGAGGAAAACTGTCGAGGCCCTGATCAGAGCCCTATTTTATATCTAGTGAACACCCCACTTAGGGTTTTGGCCAGAATTTCTGGTCAAACCCATAAGATAAAAAAAATCTTAAAAATGTAGTATAATTACTCCGTTTAATTAATTTCTTCAATTGTTTATAATTTTATTATGGGAACTAATTTAAAAAACTTAATTCATTTACACTTTATTCAAACGAGGAAAACTGTCGAGGCCCTGATCAGAGCCCTATTTAATATCTAGTGAACACCTCACTTGGGGTTTTGGCCAGGAATTCTAGTTAAACCCCTAAAATAAAAAAATTATTAAATAACTAAAATAATGATTGCCTTTCATTGTTAATAGCTTCTACAACAAAAAGGAATTCTAAAAACTTTAGTAAAAAAAAATTTTAATAGGAAAAACTGTCGAGGCCCCAATCAGAACCCTGTTTTAAATGGGGCAAAGTGGGGCATTTTCTGCACGGGTGAGTAAATTAATGTAAAATCTAAAATCATGTCATTTTTAAAAGATTGTCACATTGAAAAAAATGGTAATGTCAATTTTGACATACGAGTATGGTTATGACGTATAGCTGAAACAGCATTTACTGTATTGCTGTACTTAAAATACAGTATTGGTGTTCTTCACATACATATGGCTGTTCTACACTGCGTATGACCGAAACAGCAATACTGTATGGCTGTTCCATATCCACCAATATAATATGTGAGAATTGGCCATATTTATGTCAGTATAAATATATTTTTTTCAGTACAGCTTTTTTAAAAAAAAAATTTTTTTTGACATCGGATTTCTGTTCAGTACATCTAAAACCATAAATATATACATATCGTCAAAGCAAAAGATTAATAAAAAAAGTTATCATACAAAATGTAAAAAAGTGCACTAATCCTATGTTAAATCCCATTTAAACTTTAACCCTTCGGTATCACGGATTAACATTGTTCGATTGGGCTGTTTTTGTGCACAGCTCATTTTTCTCACATTCTAAAGCAAATTCAGCCCGGCGATTAAAGAAATTCCAAATTTTGCAAAGTAACGGTCACCCTAATAAGTAGTTGTAGGAGACTAGTATTGGAATTGAAACCAGTATACAAGAACTAGAATATGTATAGACTGATACAAAATGTTATATAATTGTTACTTACTACTCTGCTTTAGACTTGATCGGTATCAAGCATTCTACATCTGCTAAAATATGATTTTAACAGAAGCAAACTTTTTAGTCGTCGTATGCAAAATAATATTCGCTCCATCATTGTTTCTCGTCGATTTTGTGAACTTTGTGAATTAGATGATGAAATTGTCTGGCAAAGTTGAATGAATTTTGATTAAATAATCAACAGGGAATAATATTGGGAAGTTTGTTGTGCTCGCTCTTGTTTCTCATATAGCACTTTGGAAAACGGTATGGTTCGTGCAATCTTGAATGTATTGTGAGTTGCAGCTTGTTTCCGAACTAACCAAACTAGGATGTCCAGGGAAATGGCATACTGTGATCAATGTTACACAAGGAAAGACCTATCCTCACCGACGCGACAACTGTTTTGATCATCTTGGTAGCTTATTCTCTAACTTTGACGTGTATATATATATATATATATATATATATATATATATCTCTGCACGTCTGGTTACTTTCCTACGTTTCGTTTCCATTTCTCTCTCTCTCATCTCCTTCACTATACTATATACCTACGTTTTCCCAGTTCCTTTTCATCTATATTCTGTGCACATGCACAGACGTAAAACTTTTCCAAGTATATTTCGAGAAGAACGACTTTCCAAAGCAAAAATTTTCCCACTTTCCTCCTTTCTACAATTCTTTTGTACAGTTGTACTGAAATTCTACCTACCATGAGGTAACTCGAGAAAGAAGGAAGAAAAAGTGACTCTTTTATTTTTCCAACAAGGATAATCGAAAATTGTCTCTTTGTATAGAGTAATTCAACACTGGTATTCTTTCTCTATTTAGGGAAATAATTCTGTTGTTCTTTATATAAATTATTAAATAGAATTATTTATTGACGTTCTCTAAAATTTATAATTTCGTTTCTTTCCACAAAAAAATCTAAATTAGCCAAAGTTATTCACTATTGTAGCAGTAATTAAATCTAATTAAAAACTTTTAAAAATATAAAATTTTGAACGTTTTTCCTTTTTTCAATGAAATTGTTAAACGTTGCTCGTAAAAAAATTCCTTAACCTCTTTGTAAAACTACACTGAAAAAAAAGTTCTGGTTGGAATTACCAGAAAACCTGTTTTTAACTAGAATTTCGTGTTAAATATTCCCTAACTAGATTTTTTCTGGTTAGGTTAACCAGAATTCTAGTTAACTTAACCAGAATTCTGGTTGTTTTAACTAGAATATCGTGTTAAATATACCCTAACCAGAACTTTTTTTTCACTATAGTGACACCATATGGCGACAAGGAAAAAAAATTTTCATACCTCAGGCACAAAATAGGCGCTTTTAGATAGCAGCCGACAGGAACTAAAAGCCATTCATTTGTCCACTTGAATGAAAATGGCGACCTTTTTTTCCCATGGGCAAAAAAAAACAGCTAGTCCCTTGCGTTATTTTTGCTCATGGGAAAAAAAGGCCGCCATTTTCATACAAGTCGAACAAGTGAATGACTTTTACTCCCTGTCGTCTGGAAAACACAAAAACTTGTTGAAAAATGGTATTAAAAATTTGTTGATATATGTTTTTTTTACTCACGTGCAACATTTAAGAAACCGCTTTCAACTTTTGTGTAAAATTTTGGTGCATCTGTTGACACTTCGCAACGATATTTACCACTCAAGTCCATTTGAACGTCTTTTATTATTACGGAATGTGAATTGCTTCGATTTACCTAAAAATGAAAAAGAAAATATTACATTTTTTTCTGTTAATTTGTTTTTGTAAAGAAATAAAAAAAATTGATATAAATTTTTATTAAAAGAATGCTCTTCTATTGAAATGAGAATTTGAAAGTATTAATTGAAATTGGAGAAAATTTAATTCAAATTTTGTAATGTATAATTAAGATTAGAAATTCGTTGAAATTTAATCGATACTTCAGTGTAATACAGTCCTATCTTCTGGTAATATTTTGTATAGTCCTATCTTCAGGTGATACTTTGTATCGTGCTGTCAAAAAGTAGGGTTAATGTATTAGCTGTTTTCTAAATGCATTTAAGTGGTTAAATTTTATTAATTCACACTAAATTTTTATATATTATGATAAAAAGTATCTCTTAAAATATAAAAAAATTATTGTTTCGAATGTAATCAATATTTTAAGTACCGTAATTTATTTTTTTTATTCACACCAAAATCTGTCAAATAAGAGATAGCACGGTACAAAACATCACCTCGAGATGGGACAGTTTAAAGTATTACCAGAAGATAGGATTGTATCACACTGAGGTATCGTAATATTTAATTAAGATTACATTTGATTAAAATTTGTGCCATTCAATTAAAGTTTGATTTTGTTCAAATTTATGTTTTGCACATTTTTGCTGTATTTTACTATATATATATATATGTTAGAAGTAAATTTTAATTATGTACTAATTTTTTTTTACTAAAATTGACTTCGGAATTGGTAAAATTAACTTTAGAATTAATGAAAATTGATATAAATGTGCAGAAATTTTAGGCAAATTATCTTTATTTACTTTAACTTAAAGGTAATCAAACCCTTGACATAAACTCTAATTAAAAAGCAATTTTTATCACATAATACAAATATAGGTAATTAAAATTATTATAACTAAATTTTAAAAGTATAAATATTATAGGGAGAAGCCCCCTAGTACCGTACACCTAAGGTTTTCATAAAAAAATTAAAATTAAATTAAAACAATAATTCAAAAAAGTTGACTTCGTTTATGAATTAATTAACTCTACAATATATAACACCAAAATCAATTAACAAAAATACAATATTTTATAAAATTTTCTTTTATTTGAAGACAGATTTAAAAAATTCAAAATGGCGACTACAAAAATTAAAAAAATTTCAGATTTGCTTTAAACTCGTTACTCGGGGGTTTTCGGGGTCGCTGATTACGAATATGATATCAGATTTTCAAAATTCAAAATGTCGGATCTAATATGGTGACCCAATATGGCGGATAATTTCAAGATTGATGCGATTCGATCGAAATTTGTTTCTCGGGGGTTTTTGGGGTAGCTGAATTCGAATTTGATGTTCGTTTTTCAAAATTCAAAATGTCGGATAATTTAAAAATTATTGCTATTCGATCAAGATTCGTTTTTTGGGGGTTTTTGGGGTACACTAAAAAATATATTTATGATACTGCCATAAATATGGCCAATACTCACATATTATATTGGTGGAAATGGGACAACCATACAGTGTTGCTGTTTTAGCGATACGCAGTGTAGAACAGCCATATTATACGTCCTTATTATACTCGTATGACAAAATCGACAATATCATTTTTTTCAGTGAAGCTGAATTCGAATTTGATGTTCGTTTTTCTTAATGCTAAATTGCGGATTCAATATAGCGACCAAATTTTCTGCATGTTGCCGAATTTTTATCAAAAACGTTTACTTAATCTTTTTACGTTTTTTTTGTTTTATTAAAAAATTCACAAGAATAAATATTTTTAGACACATTCATTAACTTTTAAAAAAGTAGGTCGCCATTTTGGATACGCAATTTTGATTTTTGAAAGAGGAACATCAAATTCGAATTCAGCGACCCCAAAAACCTCCGAGAAACGAATTTCAATCGAATCGCATCAATCGTGACATTATCCGCCATTTTTAATTTTGAAAATCTGACATTATATTCGTAATTAGCGAACCCGAAAACCCCCAAACAGCAAGTTTTAAGCAAATCCGATGGATTTTTAATTTTCTCGTCCGCCTTGTTGGATCCGCCATTTTGAATTTTGAAAATCTGATGGGTCAAATTTCAGAGTATGGGGGGGGGTCAATGGTAAAAAAATGTGTGTATATTTGGAAACACTTGTTTCTGTTGATTGGAAGGGGGCGGAGTGTTGTAGTAATTTATGACCTATTTTTATGTGACATGTGTTTAATTTACGATGTCAGCAAAAATTTGTAAAGTTGAGACGTGATTTTTGCCTTGATTGAAGGGAGAAGAGGGAGGGGGTAATGTTTGGTGAAAATTTTGGTTTGAAAATAATTCTGAGAAATATTTTCTGTGACATTTTTTGTTATGGGTAATAAATTTTTATGGCATTTTTTTGAATGGAACATTCAAATTATGATGTTAGTATAATTAGAAAAAAAATCGTATAGTCGCGTATCCTTTGTGTGAAAAAAGGAGCATTTTTTAAAGCAGTATAAAGACGTGCAAAACTATTGCAAAAATATCATTTATATTTGAGACACCAACTTAACTAGTTGAATTTATATTAAAAATAAAGAGATGGAATCAAATCACTTTGAAACTTTTGTGACTTGTGCTAAAGAAGCGGGGCGGTATCAATTGCCCAAAATTTAACTGCATACAGGAAAACTGCCCGCGTTCAAGTGCACCCTGGAAAACTGTACACAAGCAAATTTAAAAAATAAAATCATTAAATTAAATTTAAAAACTGTACAAATTTAAACTGCATACCGGTAAACTGACCACAGGAAAACTGCATACTATTAAAAATTGCAAATTATAATAAAAAAATGAAATTAATTATATGTATACAGTTAAACTGACCTCAGGAAAACTGCACAAAAGCTTATTTTCTATTAAATTTATTAAAAATAAGCTTTTGTGCAGTTTTCCTGAGGTCAGTTTAACTGTATACAGTTTAAATTAATTTTATTTTTTTATTAAAATTTGCAATTTTTAATAGTATGCAGTTTTCCTGTGGTCAGTTTACCGGTATGCAGTTTAAATTTGTACAGTTTTTAAATTTAATTTAATGATTTTATTTTTTAAATTTGCTTGTATACAGTTTTCCAGGGTGCACTGGAACGTGTGCAGTTTTCCTGTATACAGTTGAATTTTGGGCAATTGATACCGCCCCGCATCGTCTTATTATATTGAGAGAAGAGGGTCCATGTCCAAGTGAATGTGAAAAATTAATTAAATTAAATAAAAGAAGTATTTATAAAGTTAAGAAATATTTGTGTGATAATAGAGATAATTTGTCAGTAAATGAGAAACGAAGTATCATTGCATCATTAGCACTGTTAAAGGCATTTCAACAGAAATTTCGCCATTTATATATTAAAAGTGGTGGTCGTTTATCAGCTGGAAATCAAGAAGAAAATCATCGAATCAGGTGGGAAAACTTGGAGAATGCTTTTGATGGTCATGTGAAAACAGGTTCAATAGTGAATTTAAGACATAAAGATTTATATAATTTTTTAAAGGATTCAAAATTATTAACGATTAATAATGTAAAAGAAAGTTTAACAGAGCATGCAAATTTGAAAGTAAACGTTATTTTTTATGGTAGATTTGAAACTTTAAAACAAGGGGAAATGATTGATGAAATAAAGTATTTTAATACGAGAAATTCAATTATTTTTCCAACAACAGATTTAGATGATTGGTATATAAATAAAGTCAGAGATTGTGTATTGGTAGAAATTGAGAAATTTGAAGAGAAAGAATCGGGTTGGAGTTTGAAAGAAATTATTAATTTAGTTGTAAATATAAATAGATATGATGCATTTCAAGTTGGATATTCCACCTATATGGATTTACCATTAATGATTAGAAATAAGAAAGCTGTAATTAACATTGAGAACAATGGCCCTTATTGCTTTCTTTCGTCAATAACAGCTTTTTTATTTCCTGCAAGAGATCACGTAACTCGCACTGACTCATATCCCCACTACAGTACTATATTAAAATATGATGGTATTGAATTTCCAATTAGTTTTTCTCATATTAAAAGGTTTGAAAAAATGAATAATTTAAAAATAAATATTTATGGATTAGATGACTTTGATAAAAAACATAAATATACTGATATTGTTCCTATTTATGTAATTAAAGAAAAAGAAAATAATCCTGTCGTACATTTATAAATGATAGAGACTAATAAAATTGATGAAAACGAAAATGATAATTCGAAACCAATATACCATTTTGCTTTAATAAAGAATCTTTCCCGTTTAGTAAGATCACAGGTAACTAAAAAAAACAAAGTTTGTTATTATGTGATCGCTGCCTTTGTCGTTTTCTTGACAATAACTTATATAAAAGACATAGATTAGCGTGTGAGAATACGAATAAGTGTAAAGTAATTTTACCCGATGAGAATAATAATAATAATAATGTACAATTTGAAAATTATCGTTTTAAAGATAAGGTTCCATTTGTAATATATGCTGATACAGAATGCCTTTTAGAGCCTATTGCAGAGACAGACGCAAACACATGCAACGTTCAAAGGCACGTGCCTACAAGCGTAGCTTATACCATGCAGTGCGGCTTTGATGAGTCACTCTCACATACAAATCTTTATCGTGGTGGGGACTGTATACAGTGGTTTATGGGGTTACATGGGTCAAAACGTCCAGACAATGTATGATTGTTTAATTATTTTTTTTTTCATAAAATAAATAAATTTTTTATTTGAGTGTTTTTATATCTTAAAGTACACTATTAAAACAGTAACTTGTAAAAATTTCGTTAAAAAATATTTAAAATCAGGGCCGTACCTACAGGTTCTTTGAGAACCCTTCCAAAAAAGCGGTGGTCACGATATCTTCTGACCGGTTCATTGAAAATCAAAAAACCAAATATTTTCTGTTAGTGGATGAGTATAGCTCGTGATTGAACGAAGGAATATTTTTTTTGTTGATTAGAACCGATTTTACATGGTCTTAATGGTTCTAAAAATTTGAACTTTT